TGCTCGTTACCTCTGAAATAATCGTCGTACGATGGGAGAAGACCGTCCTCTGGCATTGGAATGTGGCATTTTACGTGACCGGCTCAAGGCTACAGACGGACAGATATGGGCCAGAGCCTCACTGCACACAGGAAAACTAAGAACGTTCGCCAAAAATACCGTGGCCTTAAAATAAAATAACAATATATAGCTGGAGACGTTCAAGGCTATGGCCCCTTTTTTGTAGCACACGCAGCATGTGTCATGAATAAGGGTTTTTGCCCGAAAATAAGCATGACATATTGTTTGACATTTATAATAATGGTTTACGTTTAAGGCCATAGTGTTGTCATTAAAGAACGTATTTTTTTGTTTTTTTATTATTATTTGTGCTTGTGCATCACTGCCAAGATCAGCTGGTAAATAACTAAATATTGACGTTCGGGAAACAAAGGCAGACGGTCATGGCGCTCGCCACATCACTCTCTTCGTGTTGAGTACAGGCCCAAAATAGCTGCTCGCTAACTACACTTGCCCCCAACACCCTTGCCTAGGCTATTACGGGAGGATCTTTGTCCTTTGTGCACTCATCAGTGTCGCAGGTATCATCGGGAAAAAAAAAACAGTCTCGGTGACTTGAGGCTCTCTCCGGAGCCTTGAAAAGCTCCGTCTCGCTCTCCGAAGAACCTCCGTGCACTCCGTCTCCTATCTCATCTCCGCACAACACCGCAGCCAATATCTCCCCGGACCTCTCGCGTTTCTTCTTCTTCCCCTCCCTTTCATGCCTCGCTAATGGCCTCTACATCGACGATTCTCGCTCCCTCTCCGCCCTGCACCCTCCTCCTCGTTTCCGTGCCTGCCGCGGTCACGTGCAGGCGACCACCAGCAAAAGGGATGCAGGCCCCATCGCACCATGCTCCCTTTTCTAAATTTATTTCACCTTTTTGGGTTTTTTTTTTCCCTTCCTCCTCCACAGCTGAGACTTGTCATTTCAAGCCAAATCAATCGCATCGTGAGACAGACAGACAGACAGAGAGAGAGAGGGGGCAAGAGAGTGAGGAAAGAAAGAGAGAAAGAAAGAGAGGCATTTCTTAAGAGGTGCGTGGGGAGGCTTTCATTCAGCAATGGACACGAAAGGACCGCGAGCTCCCGCAACGTTTCGCTCAACTTTTTTTTACCGCGCAATTTTTAGAGAGGCGATGGAGTTGAACAAAAAAAAACACAAGCAAGAAACAGAAACAGAGAGACGAGGCTTAAAAGAATAAAGGATAAGACATCCAATGTAAGTTAGCGGAACGCCGTAATAAGCCCGCTCGCCGTCGGGATAGCGCGCGTTCATTACGCACGCGCGCGCGTTCCTCCGCTACCCTTCAAGTGCGCGCGCGCTCCCCTCCGTTCCAGAATCAAACGAGGGGACAAATTAAGAGAAACGAGAAGAGGATTATGTGCTGACCCGCGAGCGCACGCAATGCAGCGATAGTCGCTTGGGTAATTGGGTGGGCAGTGCCGCGACAGCCTGCGCTGTTTTGTACAGGAGGCAGCGTCTGTCTGTCTGTGTGTGCATGTGTGTGTGTGCGCGTGTGTGTGTGTGCGTGTGTGTGCGCGCGTGTGTGTGTGCGTGTGTGTGTGTGTGCGTGTGTGTGCGTGTTTGTGTGTGTGCGTGTGTGTGCGTGTGTGTGCGTGTTTGTGTGTGTGCGTGTGTGTGTGTGTGCGTGTGTGTGTGTGCGTGTGTGTGCGTGTGTGTGTGCGTGTGTGTGTGCGTGTGTGTGTGTGCGTGTGTGCGTGTGTGTGTGTGCGTGTGTGTGTGCGTGTGTGTGTGTGCGTGTGTGTGTATGCGTGTGTGCGTGTCTGTGTGTGTGCGTGTGTGTGCGTGTGTGTGCATGTGTGTGTGTGTGCGTGTGTGTGTGCGCGTGTATGCGTGTTTGTGCGTGTGCGCGTGTGTGCGTGTGTGTGCATGTGTGTTTGCGTGTGTGTGTGCGTGTGTGCGCGTGTGTGCGTGTGTGTGTGCGCGTGTGTTCGTGTGTGCGTGTGTGTGCTCATATCTCATCGCCGTGTCTGAATGCCGCCTGTCTCCTTGCTTGGCTCCGCTCGCTTCCAATGTGCGCGTGTGCCTGGCTAAGTCGTGTACACAGCCACGAGAGGGGAGTGACGCCGATTAGAAGAACCCAGTTTTGCCACACTAAACGTGATGCCGCGCTATCCGTTAAGCCACGTGACGATGGTGCGGTGGTAACGGTTAGCACACTGGAATTGCAGTCCAGAGGTCACCAGTTAGATTCGATCTCTCGGCACGGCAGTTTGAAACAATGAGTCGAGTGACATTTGAACCGGTGCTTCGCTTCCCCTTCGCCAATTCGTGCCGACCTGTGTGGTGAAGTATGGTCAAACAACCAACCCCCCCCCCCCCCCCCGCCATGACTGAGATGTCGTGGGGAGGCCTTCATCCAGCAGTGGATCGATAAGAGGACTGAACAATGCATTGCAATAGTAACTATTATTTTATAACCATAGCCATGTTTGCAACTGTGAAACTATTGTTACTCTTTGTTTTTTTTTTCGGTAAAGTCACGTAGGTAAAATAAAATAACTGAAAACAACTAAATTAAGTCACGACGTTTCGGAGGCAACACAAGCTTCCGTCTTCAGGTGGAACAGTCACAGCAAAATAGCTTGCAGTCACGAAAGCTTCAAATCTAGAATGTGAAACTATCGCTCTGTACCCCCGTAACAATGGAATGGGTACTGAACACGAATCGGTAATATTTGAAGCAACAAAAACCCACGACGCCTTCGCTTATAATGCCGTGCCCTAAACGTGTCATTGACGAATCATGGATGTGTATCGTTAATTGTTGTTTATGTTCGGCATAGCGTATGCGTCGCTACCAATGTTGTTGCACAACAACAACAACAAACGCAATAGAAGTTGTTTTTCGGTTAGATCGCGATCGAACCCAACAAAAAAACAAAACCTCTATAACGGATGACATTAGTCGCGAAAGCAAGCTACGTGTTGAACTAACAACGAACGTGTTCACTACATATTACGGAGACACATGTAAGAAGGAGGCGCTTTGGCCGCTTGTCTGCCTTGTTTATTTTGTTTACGTGCTCGACACAGGCGCAAACGATTCGCGTAACTTGTGCCTTGAACGTAGAATGGGTAGCAAGACCACGGATTCGAGAAAATATCTGCCGACTGCCTCAATTCCCCCCCCCCCCATGAATGGGTACAGCCTGGGTGGTCACCGCTGCTTGTGATTGTTATGTTCCGACGGGCATATGCGTGGTGAGGTAGTGGGGTGAAAATATTCGCTTACAAATGAACACGCGTCTCCTTCCCTCTGCGGAAATGTCTCTCTTTCTTTCTCTGTGTGTGTCTGCAACAAGACAAAACAAAACCCGGTCGTTTTCATGATTTATTTCGTGTTTCTTTCAAAACGCTCACTTGGGGTCAAGGCCTCTCTGGATGTGAACCCGAGCGATGACCCCTCGCTCTGCCCCTGTCCTGGCTGGAATTTCCGCCACGCGCTTCACATCACGCTCTTCTCATCCTCCGTCTCTCGCAATTTCGCTCAGCAGGGGAGGTCGAGGGGCTGGTGGTGTTGCGTGAGGTCTAGGAGTGGGCGGGCGGCTGACCTTTCTCCGGGGGGAAGTTGCCCCCACGTCCGTGACCATTAGCCGGGGGGTAGCAGGTACGCTCCAGGGCAGGTCTTTAGAAAGAGCAGCGCTGGTGGGGGCTCAGAGAGCAATCGGCTCTGGCACGCCAGACGTTTAAACGATAACCGCCAAGGCATTTGATTAAAGGGGTGGCGCCGATGCAATATCTCGCTTATAGCAACGTGTGAAAAGGTTGTTTGCAATCAATGGGGTGGAGGGTCGGGGAGAGATCGATGCATTTATTTAGAATGTGTACGCCGATCGCGGGCGTTTGGGGGGGGGGGTGGGAGGGGAGTGAGAGGGGGCGATGAGATGAGACGCGGCCGCGACGCTTACATTGCAAGGGAAACATTGGGTGACAGGTTCATGTCTGCATGTGGAGTATCGATGGAGAGAGTGTGTGTGCGTGTCGCCTTTGTTGCATGTCTGGGTGGCACAGTGAGAGAGCACTGGTGGTGAATCCGCCAATAATCTACGTCAATGAACCCATAACACCCGGGTCTGTCCAATAACCTCCTGCCAGCGAGCCTTCGACACTTCACGCTGTCTCAAAGTGCACCACGCCTGGCACAATATCTGTGGTGACAGCACCGCCACGTGTATGTGTATATGTCGGACTTCTTTCGCACCGTACGTAGCCAACCCTGCCAATCGCCACCTAGTGACGAATTGCGACTGTTGTTGTGTGAGTTATATGTATCTGTGGATACTTGTGTGTGTGTGTGCATGAGTACTGGGTGCGATGTGTAAACATACAGCACTGGGGAGACAAAGGAGGCTGGGCGTGATTATAGACACACCACCCCCTCCTTCCGCCGTATCAGCCTTAATAGGTGCTCGCTAACAGCACTTGTCCCAACAGGCCTTGCAGGCACCACAGGGGAACTTTTGTCATTGTGGGTGTGCAAGGCGCGGTTGCGCAGTAAGCTAATGCACTGCCGCACGTACCGAGCCTCCCGAGTTCGATTCCCATCCAAGGCTAACATCAGTGGCGGTATTTTGGACTGGTCATGGGTCTCCCCGAGGTCGCGTTGTGTGAACACCAGCACTGGGGATACAAAGAGGGCAAGACGTGTCCCTGACCACACCGCCCCATCGCTTTGTTTGCTGTATCGGCCGTAATAGCTGCTCGCTAACAGCACTCGACCCAACGGTCTGGTAAAGCCTACACAGCACGAGTAGCTATTTGCATTGAAGCCACAACTGTGACCCCCACCCCCAAATCCGCCGTAAAAGAAAATACGGCTGATATACTCTTTAACAAACGGATCGATTTCTACGTAAACATAAAAAAACTAAGACTGATTAAATCAACCTCTCTCTCTCTCTCTCTGTGCCTCCCCTCCCTGCTGGCCGCGCAGTTGAGGTGCCACCCTTCTTCAAGAGAGAGCCCCTGCACACGCAGCTGCACCTGGAGGGCAACCGGCTGGTGCTCACGTGCCTGGCGGAGGGCAGCTGGCCCCTGGAGTTCCGCTGGCTCGTCAACGACACCGAGATCGCCCCCTTCTCGCCCGAGAACAGGTTGGCTTAATTAGAGGGCAATTAAAGACGTGCCGCCGCCTTCGCCAATTCGTGGCTGGCACGCCTGCCAGCGCGTCCCCCCGCCCCCGCCCTCCGACCCATCTCTATCCCCCCACCTCTCCCCACCCACCACCTCCACCCCGCGCAACCGGCACGTGCTGCTGTGTCTGTGCGTCGTGCGTCTGTTGAAGGGCAGCGGTAAGCGTGATGGTGAGCACGCAGCACTCGTAAATCAGCGACACCAGTTCGATTCGGGCTCACGGCCAAAAATTCGTGACCCAGCCTTGAATTAATTCCTTGGTGTGGTGTAAACATCAGCCCTGGGGAGATAAAGCGGGCGGGCGAACACAACCCTCTGATGCGCTGTTATAAACGTAACAGTGATCACTCACAGCACTTGCCCCAACAGTATATAATCCCTATAAGGGGACATTTGTTTAATTGCCGATATCGCTGGCAAATGCTGCTGGTCTCGGTCGGTTTACCCATAATGCCTGGGTCGGGTCTGTCTCGTAACCCCTGCCAGCCAGCGAGCCCCCAACACTTCGCGCGGCATCACAGTGCACCATAGCCTGGCACAAGCACATTGGTTAGATCGCCGCCACTTAGAAGCATCGGATGGCAGTTGTTGATGTTGTTGTTGTTGTTGTTTATTTGCCCGTGTCGCTCGCAACCGGGTTCCACGCAGCGTTTCGTGAAAAGTTTTGCAAAGAGCGGGCGCTTTGCAAACTCAATTCAAGCGAAACCGTCCCGGATGGCCCGTTGTGAAAAAAAAACTAAGCCGACATCACACCGGGATTGGTGTCCCCTGATGCTTGATGGGCGTCGCTGCGATATGCACGGTGTGCGCGTGTGTGAGTGAGTTAACGTATGCGCGCGTGTGTGTGTGTGTTTGATGATACGGCATCCGGCCAACAGTCTGTTTAGGCTAAAATGGGGGATCTTTGTGCGTGTGTGTCTATGTGTGAGTGAGTAGACGTGTGTGTGTGTGTGTGTGAAAGAGAGAGTACACGAGCGTGGGTGCATGGTTGAGTGGGCAGACAGCGGTGGCAAAGCGGTTAGCACGCTGCTCTATGAACGGAGCCGCCTGCACCCGATGCACAGCCATGGATACGATCAGCGGTGAGTGATATCAGAATGTGCCCCGGGCGCCCGCTAGGGCGACTTGACCTCAAATGAGTACCTGGTGTAGTGTGTGAACCTCGGCGTTTGAGAAACAAAGGTGGACAGACAATATTCTGGCCCCCTAGCCATGGCTTGCGCTGCTAAACGTAATAGGTGCCCGTTTACAGGACTAGCAGGAAGAGCTTACATCTAGGCTATACGGGGGGGTCTTCGTCTTTGTGTGCGCGTGTGTTAGAGGCACAAACAGTCAACTCATGCAGTTAATTTAAATTAGCAAAATAACAATATGTTTGCCCGGGAAAGCTTAAGAATTGCATTTTTAGAGCGACATCATTATTATTTCCATAATCATCATCATTAATCCATTGGTGGGTGAATGACTTCACACGCTCACGTGGGTCGTGTGGTGACGCTCTCACACATCACCACGCGGATAATTGCGGGTTGGCGAAGGGCAGGGAGCACAGACGTGGGATCACAGAAGTGCGGTACAACACTCCGTATAATTGAGCACAATTAATGTGGCAGTTTTATTGAGCAGTAACATCAATTAGATCCCCCTGTACAAGCTGTATAGGGCATAGCTTGCAACAGGCGAAGTTTCAGGTCTATCACAGATGGCCCCCTGCACATTTACCCCCACCGTTCCCCACCACTCATTCCCCTTCACCTCCCCCTTGTAGCAGGAGATGAAGTTTGGGAGCAGATGTTATTCCGTCTGAAATAAAATTGTCCATCCTAAGCCAAACCTCCCTCTGCCTAAGCTACGTCAGGGTCATGGCCGGCTCACACAAGGATAGGAGCAGAGGAATCTACATTTCACGTCTGATCTCGCTCTAATTGGCATTTCCAGACCCATATTCGTGGCTCGCGATCTCTAAATCTTGATACGGGGCGGGGTCTATTGCCCTTCAGCGGTACCAATGGTGCCTCCCAGGCTCCACTCCACAGCTCAATATGACTGGCCAAACCACACTGTCCACTTCACAAAGATGATCCCAATAACTACCGACCTATCTCAATTTTGTCCCCATTGATGAAAATTTTTGAAAAATTATTGAACTACCAAATTAGCAGTTTCCTGTCCACCAACAATCTACTACATCTAACAATCTGGGTTCCGGAAAAAATACAGCACCACATCTGCTGCATTAGACTCTTTGAATCAAATTTACAATAGCCTTGATAATAAGCAGTACTGTGCCTGTCTTTTTCTTGACCTGTCCAAAGCTTTTAATACAGTAGACCACAACACCCTGCTTAGTAAACTAAGTTGCCTCGGTTTTTCCGAGAACACAGTACAATGGTTAAAAAATTACCTCTTTTCTCGCACCCAAACTGTATTCACAGATGGTTGTAGGTCAAACAGTATTAAGATAACAAAAGGGGTTCCACAGGGTTCCATCCTCGGCCCCCTCTTGTTCTCTCTTTATGTCAATGACTTGGGCACTGAACTGGATCATTCCAGGGTAAATCTTTTTGCAGATGACACGATACTGATTACTGCTGGCCGCTCTCCAGATGACGTGATTGCTAAGCTCCAGGGTGATTTCAACAAACTACAACATCAGCTAGTTTATCTTAAACTAGTCCTGAATACCTCCAAAACCAAGGTGCTATGCTTCTCTCCGGGACTAAAGCAGGAAGTTATTTTTCCCCAATTACATTCCTTGAATAATTATCAAATAGAGCAAGTCAAGATCTATAAGTATCTTGGGGTCATCCTGGATTCAAAACTTAGTTTTGAAGATCACATTGATTATATTGGTAAAAAGACAAAAATAAAATTGGTTTTCTGTATCGACACAAGCACTGCTTCCCCCCAATGTTCCGTTTGGAATTGATAAAAGCTACCATACTGCCTCTACTTGACTACTGTGACATCGTGTATAAATCAGCCCCAAATACTGTACTGAAGAAGCTTGATTCCATCTATCACTCTGCCTTAAGATTTGCATTGAACTGCCCATATAGGACTCACCACTGTGATCTCTACATTGGGTCAAACTTAACATTCCTTAATGTTCGACGGCTTGTGCACCAGATCTTATTTATTCATGATGTACTTACAAAAAATTCCGCAGACTACCTACTGGATCTCCTCTCTGTTTCAAAGAACAAATTTGACCTCAGGTCTTCGCTCATTTACCAGCTTCACATTCCATATTGCCGTACAAAAACTGGAGGAAGGGCCTTTGCTGTTGATGTCCCCAGGGTCTGGAATGCTATTGCCAATAAACTGCAACTTGAATCACTACCTATGAGAACTTCACTCAAAACTGCTCTAGAGGAGTTGTACAACCCTAGCTGCCACTGCTATTCAGTGGCCTAAAATATGGCTCTAGATTTTGGTGTTATAATTTATTTACGTAGTTTATTGTTAAAAATTCGGTCACAGTCCCTATGATCACTGTTACATTGCATTCATGGCTTTTATTTTGGTGTTTTCGAAAACGTTTTTTTTTTGTTTTGGCCATGTTTTTGTTTATTGTAGTACGGAGTTAGACTGATGGCCTTAATCTTAGTTGTCTTGTGGTTGTTGTTGTTATTTGACTTGCATCCCACTGGGATTTTTGCACACAGCGTTGGTGTACGGTGCTATTTCAAGAATATTTTGATATTTTTTTTCCTGTATTTTCTGTTTGCACAGTCACATAATCACTTTAAGATGTTTTCTTGTTCATGTTTTTTTGTTTGTTGCGGTTGCACCCGATTCAAGAGCCGAATGGCTCACAGGGCTATACCAAATAAATGAACTATGAACTATGCCTCACGCAATTTTTTACAGTTTTATGTTAATTTACGAGCAACTCCTGCGTATATTTTTCGCGGTTGTGCTTTATGCCTCTCTCTGACGTGTGTTTTTGGGTTATACGGCGTGTTTCTAAGCACGGTGTCTGATGTTCGGCCCCTCTCCGATTTTTTTGCCACATGAAGTCAATTACTCCTGAGTGTAACTGGCCAAACCATGCCAATTCAACGGGACCGTTGGGCAAAGGGATAGTCTTGAGACCCAGTGAGGCTTTTGTGACTAAATAAAATGCATTGTTATAATTCTAATACGGGAATCTTTTCCAGACCTTGTGCCAGTATGTCGTTCAGATCGAGTGCCAAGCCAGAGAGCTGTGGCCGGAACTAACAGTGCAATGTATTGTGTGGCTGCAATTCTGCGTTTTTTAAAATCTAAAATTAACAAGATATAAATGAATCTCGCAATTCTATTGAAATGTCTCTTTAAGCCACGTTCGTGCAAGTAAAAAGTCACAAACTACCTTTAATGCATTCTTTTGTTTTTCCACTGAGAAAGAAAGTACTGTGCGATCCAAAAAAAAAACACGTTAGCGTTTTGCATCTTGCTTTTATACGGACCGACGACCCTAATGTTGCGATTAAAGACATCCGGAGGCTATGGCACACACATACATATATACACACATACACGCGCTCGCGCGCACACAGCCACGAACGCACACGCGCCCATGCGCACACACAAAGTCAACCACAAACGCAGCACACACGCACCCACACACGCATACACGCACGCGCTCACGCGCACACACCCACAAACTGGCACGCGCACACGCGCACACAACCACAGCCGCCGTTCGCCACTTAAGTGGTGGTGACGTCACCACGACGCCTGTCCCACGCTTTGAGCACTTTGAGGCCACGTGCTTTTGTCGAAGCCTCGCTGACAGGGAGGTCACGTGACAGACCCGGTGCGCCATGACTGACTGAGATGACTGGCAGATGCGCGCGCACGCGTGCACACACAAACGCGCGCTCGTAACTCTGTTTACCCTGAAGCCAGGTGGGCAGCAGGGTCCCTACTGCCCACCGCATCGGTGTAGCCCGCCGCTGCCGCGTGGCCTCGA